TGTCAGTTAAGACAGGTGTAGGTAAAGTTAGATGTAAGTTAAGTTAGGTGTAGGTTAAGTTAGATGTCAGTACAATCAGGTGTAGGTAAAGATAGGTGTCAGTTAAGTCAGGTGTAGGTAATGTTATATGTCAGTTTAGACAGGTGTAGGTAAAGTTAGGTATCAGTTAAGTAAGGTGTAGATATAGTAAGGTGGCAGTTAATACCGGTGCAGATCAAGTTAAGGGTGAGTTAAGACAGGTGTAGGTTTAGTTAGGTGTTAGTTAAGTCAGGTGTAGGTAATGTTATATGTCAGTTTAGACAGGTGTAGGTAAAGTTAGGTATCAGTTAAGTAAGGTGTAGATATAGTAAGGTGGCAGTTAATACCGGTGCAGATCAAGTTAAGTGTGAGTTAAGACAGGTGTAGGTTTAGTTAGGTGTTAGTTAAGTCAGGTGTAGGTAAAGTTTGGAGTCATTTAAGTCAAGTGATGTTAAGTTAGGTATCAGTTCAGTAAGGTGTAGGTAAAGTAAGGGGTCATTACAGTCATTGGTAGATATTGTAAGGTGTCAGTTAACTCAGGTGTAGGTAAAGTTAGTTGTCAGTCAAGACAGGTGTAGGTAAAGTAAAGTGTCAGTTAACTTATGTGTAGGTAAAGCTAGGTGTCAGTTAATACAGGTGTAGATAAAGTTATGTGTCAGTTAAGACAGGTGTATGTAAAGTAAGGTGTCAATTAAGTCAGTTGATGGTAATGGTAGGTGTCATTTAAGACAGGTGTAAATATAGTAAGGTGTCAGTTAAGTCAGGTGTAGGCAAAGTTAGGTATCAGTTATATAGTAAGGTGTCAGTTAATACCGGGGCAGATCAAGTTAAGTGTGAGTTAAGACAGGTGTAGGTTTAGTTAGGTGTTAGTTAAGTCAGGTGTGGTAAAAGTTAGGGGTCAGTAAAGTTAGGTGTAGGTAAAGTTAGATGTCAGTTAAGTCAGGGGTAGGTAAAGTTTGGAGTCAGTTAAGACAAGTGATGTTAAGTTAGGTATCAGTACAGTCAGGTGTCGGTAAAGTAAGGTGTCAGTTAAGTTAGGTGTAAATAAAGTTAGGTGTTAGTTAAGTCATGTCAGTAAAGTTAGGTGTAAGTAAAGTTAGATGTTAGTTAAGTTAGGTGTAGGTTAAGTTAGATGTCAGTACAATCAGGTGTAGGTAAAGTAAGGAGTCAGTCAAGACAGGTGTAGGTATGGTTAGGTGTCAGTACAATCAGGTGTAGGTAAAGTTAGGTATCAGTTAAGTAAGGTGTAGATATAGTAAGGTGGCAGTTAATACCGGTGCAGATCAAGTTAAGGGTGAGTTAAGACAGGTGTAGGTTTAGTTAGGTGTTAGTTAAGTCAGGTGTAGGTAATGTTATATGTCAGTTTAGACAGGTGTAGGTAAAGTTAGATGTCAGTTAAGTCAGGGGTAGGTAAAGTTTGGAGTCAGTTAAGTCAAGTGAGGTTAAGTTAGGTATCAGTACAGTCAGGTGTCGGTAAAGTAAGGTGTCAGTTAAGACAGGTGTAAGTAAAGTAAGGTGTCAGTTAAGTAAGGTGTCAGTTAAGTTGGGTGTAGGTAAAGTAAGGTGTCATTACAGTCATTGGTAGATAATGTAAGGTGTCAGTTAACTCATTAGGTGTAGGTTAAGTTAGATGTCAGTACAGTCAGGTGTAGGTAAAGTTAGATGTCAGTTAAGTCAGGGGTAGGTAAAGTTTGGAGTCAGTTAAGTCAAGTGATGTTAAGTTAGGTATCAGTACAGTGAGGTGTAGGTTAAGTAAGTAAGGTGTCAGTACAGTCAGGTATAGGGAAAGTTAGGTGTCAATTAAGTCAGGTGTAGATATAGTAAGGTGGCAGTTAATACCGGTGCAGATCAAGTTAAGTGTGAGTTAAGACAGGTGTAGGTTTAGTTAGGTGTTAGTTAAGTAAGGTGTAGGTAAAGTAAGGTGTCATTACAGTCATTGGTAGATATTGTAAGGTGTCAGTTAACTCAGGTGTAGGTAAAGTAAGGTGTCAGTCAAGACAGGTGTAGGTATGGTTAGGTGTCAGTACAATCAGGTGTAGGTAAAGTTGGGTGTCAGTTAAGTAAGGTATAGGTAAAAGCTAGGTGTCAGTTAAGTCAGGTGTAGGTAAAGTAAGGTGTCAGTTAAGACAGGTGTAGGTAAAGTAAGGTGTCAGTTAAGTCTGGTGTAGGTAAAGTTAGGGGTCAGTTAAGTCAAGTGATGGTAATGGTAGGGGTGAGTTAAGACAGGTGTAGGTAAAGTAAGGTGTCAGTTAAGTCAGTTGATGGTTATGGTAGGGGTCAGTTAAGACAGGTGTAGGTAAAGTAAGGTGTCAGTTAAGTCAGGTGTAGGTAATGTTATATGTCAGTTTAGACAGGTGTAGGTAAAGTTAGATGTCAGTTAAGTCAGGTGTATGTAACGTTTGGAGTCAGTTAAGTCAAGTGAGGTTAAGTTAGGTATCAGTACAGTCAGGTGTAGGTAAAGTAAGGTGTCAGTTAAGTCTGGTGTAGGTAAAGTTAGGTGTCAGTTAAGTCAGGTATAGGTAAAAGCTAGGTGTCAGTTAAGTCAGGTGTACGTAAAGTTAGGTATCAGTTAAGTAAGGTGTAGATATAGTAAGGTGTCAGTTAAGTCAGGTGTAGGTAATGTTATATGTCAGTTTAGACAGGTGTAGGTAAAGGTAGATGTCAGTTAAGTCAGGTGTAGGTAAAGTAAGGTGTCAGTTAAGTCAGGTGTAGGCATTGTTAGGTGTCAGTACAATCAGGTGTAGGTAAAGTTAGGTGTCAGTTAAATCAGGTGTAGGTAAAGTTAGGTGTCAGTTAAGAAAGGTGTAGGTTAAGTAAGGTGTCAGTTAGGTGTAGGTAAAGTTAGATGTCAGTTAAGTTAGGTGTAGGTTAAGTTAGATGTCAGTACAGTCAGGTGTAGGTAAAGTTAGATGCCAGTTAAGTCAGGTGTAGGTTAAGTTAGGTGTCAGTACAGTCAGGGGTAGGTAAAGTAAGGTGTCAGTTAAGTCAGGTGTGGTAAAAGTTAGGTGTCAGTAAAGTTAGGTGTAGGTAAAGTTAGATGTAAGTTAAGTAAGGTGTAGGGTAAGTTAGGTGTCAGTTAAGTTAGGTGTAGGTAAAGTAAGGTGTCAGTACAGTCAGGTATAGGTAAAGTTAGGTGTCAATTAAGTCAGGTGTAGATATAGTAAGGTGTCAGTTAATACAGGTGTAGATAAAGTTATGTGTAAGTTAAGACAGGTGTAGGTAAAGTAAGGTGTCAGTTAAGTCAGGTGTGGTAAAAGTTAGGTGTCAGTAAAGTTAGGTGTAGGTAAAGTTAGATGTAAGTTAAGTAAGGTGTAGGGTAAGTTAGGTGTCAGTTAAGTTAGGTGTAGGTAAAGTAAGGTGTCAGTACAGTCAGGTATAGGTAAAGTTAGGTGTCAATTAAGTCAGGTGTAGATATAGTAAGGTGTCAGTTAATACAGGTGTAGATAAAGTTATGTGTCAGTTAAGACAGGTGTAGGTAAAGTAAGGTGTCAGTTAAGTCTGGTGTAGGTAAAGTTAGGTGTCAGTTAAGTCAAGTGATGGTAATGGTAGGTGTGAGTTAAGACAGGTGTAGGTAAAGTAAGGTGTCAGTTAAGTCAGTTGATGGTTATGGTAGGTGTCAGTTAAGACAGGTGTAGGTAAAGTAAGGTGTCAGTTAAGTTAGGTGTAAATAAAGTTAGGTGTTAGTTAAGACAGGTGTAGGTAAAGTAAGGTGTCATTACAGTCAGTTGTAGATATTGTAAGGTGTCAGTTAACTCAGGTGTAGGTAAAGTTAGATGTCAGTTAAGATAGGTGTAGGTAAAGTTAGGTGTTAGTTAAGTCAGGTGTAGGTAAAGTAAGGTGTCAGTTAAGACAGGTGTAGGTAAAGTTAGATGTCAGTTAAGTTAGGTGTAGGTTAAGTTAGATGTCAGTACAGTCAGGTGTAGGTAAAATTAGATGCCGGTTAAGTCAGGTGTAGGTTAAGTTAGGTGTCAGTACAGTCAGGTGTAGGTAAAGTAAGGTGTCAGTTAAGTCAGGTGTAGGTAATGTTATATGTCAGTTTAGACAGGTGTAGGTAAAGTTAGATGTCAGTTAGGTCAGGTGTATGTAACGTTTGGAGTCAGTTAAGTCAAGTGAGGTTAAGTTAGGTATCAGTACAGTCAGGTGTAGGTTAAGTAAGGTGTCAGTTAAGTCAGGTGTAGGAACATTATATGTCAGTACAGTCAGGTGTAGGTAAAGTAAGGTGTCAGTTAGGTCAGGTGTAGGTAAATTTAGGTGTCAGTAAAGTTAGGTGTGGGTAATGTTAGGTGTCAGTTAAGTCAGGTGTAGGTAATGTTAGGTGTCAGTTTAGTCAGGTGTGGGTAAAGTTAAGTGTCAGTAAATTTAGGTGTGGGTAATGTTAGGTGTCAGTTAAGTCAGGTGTGGGTAATGTTAGGTGTCAGTACAGTCAGGTGTAGGAAATGTTAGCTTCCACTGTGTTATATCAACACTACAAACCTGATCTACAATAAAACACCAAAGGATCGTTAATCCATTTAGTTAGGTGTAAAAAACCCAAAGGTTTGAAATATATTTTTATGACAAACTGCATTTGTATAGAGATGTTCATTGTAGATTATGAATGTTTACTACACTTTAAAGTTAAGGTTAACCACAGATTTACACAGATATAAGTATTGTATAGTAATTGCCAACTGTTATCATGGTGACTTTTGATGAATCAGCATTAATTATTCAGAGTGCAGCAGACCTTTAAATAGCATTGGGAGGTTCTTGTTCCAACATATAGGATAGTGTTTGTGTTTTCCTCAGACATCTAATTCACAATACTATAGATATAGCCATTGAAAAGCAAATCAACACAACAAGAGCAATGGAGGATGTGGACATCACTTACATTGTATATCAGAACAACTATATGTCGAACAATTTCCTTTGTTACAGTTACAATTACCACTGAAAAACACAGTATAACTCTGAGTTTCATACAAAGAGAGCATATTTACCTTGACCTGGAATGTGACCTTGAGTATGACCTTGACCTTTTGCTTTTTTTATACCTGGAAATAGAAAGTTCCTATTTATAGGTGATTCTGTAGCAGCTGTCACAATGGAAATAGTTGAAATTACAGTGACCATATTAGCTACCTTACTGTCACACACACACGTATAATGGTTACACTTAGCTTAATGAAATCATTTTTTTTTTCAATTTTCAACACGAAACCTTTGATGTGATATAAGATAATTCATTAGCAATCTATAGCATTGACCTAAGATGACATTGATTTGATTAAGTACAGCAGTTCCATTTTTGAAATTTCGTAGGGGGGGATTATGCATGCTCAGAATTAAAAGCATACAAAAATGTGTGTATGTACACCCTAGGGAAAACAACACTTTTAAATGGCATCTTTTGAGCTGTTCTTTCAGATGCAATCATGAGATGCTAGAATATAGGAATAGTTTAGCGAATTCACTGATTGAAAATGCTTAATTTTAGGGTCCAAAATTGGGAGTCTCCCTCCAAAATCTGGAGAGTTGGCAAGTATGAGTTTGTTGGTACATGTACATAAAAAACCATGAAGAACATTTAGAAATCTCAAATAATTGAGTATGCCTCACAGGCTAAAGCCATTCTATGAGTACTTGTGTAAGAGGATTGTACTTAGGACAGAGGTTGTGGTCTAGACAATGTAGACGTTGATGTCTGTATTGTTTACTTTGATCCTAATGCTAACTGTTTAACCCACCAAACATTACAATGACAACAGGTTTCACGTGAGCGTTGACGATATTGGATGGCTATGTGGACACTTAGATATTCTCTTTAATTACATTATTCATGAAATTTTATCATTAGCTGTAAACAATGTCAATTAGGGATGTTCTGGTCATCACTCCATACTGTCAAAGTTTACCTTATAATGGATGGGAACAAGCTTTATTGAGGATTCTCTTTTAGAATACATATAGGCTAGTACAATATATATAGGCTAGTAATATATAAAATATCGGCTCACTGGTACCAAGATAAAACTGTCATCAGTTTTAGTGTTGAAACAGCACTTGTCAATACCTTCAATCTCATGAACAAACATTCAATTTGTCCTCCCCCATTTGTGAAGATTTAAATACCTCAACACTTTGACATCCGAAAATGAATAAGTGGATATAATGAAATACCTGTTAAATTCAATTTTGAAAAATAAAATCTTACTTGCAAATTATATAGGAACACCTGACACAACACTAAAATCTAACACTGGTTGGTTAGTCTGAAAATCTAAATATTTACTCATAACAAATATTTCATTTTCTTGTATTTTTCAAGACACAAATCAAGTACAGACACAGATTAAGTACAGACACAGATCAAGTACAGACACAGATCAAGTACAGACACAGATCAAGTACTGACACAGATCAAGTACAGACACAGATTAAGTACAGACACAGATCAAGTATAGACACAGATCAAGTACAGACAAAGATCTAGAACTGACACAGATCAAGTACTGACACAGATTAAGTACTGACACAGATTAAGTACAGACACAGATCAAGTATTGATTAAGTATTTACGTCAAGTATGATCAAGTACTGTCACAATATTGACTTGCTTTAATTGATACTGACACTGTTATTGTTATATCAAAAAAGATTAATTATGTTCAAGTTAAAAGCATCAAACACATATTTAGTATGAAATCATTAAAATACACGTGAGAACATTATAAATGAAGCATCACTAAATCTAGACAATTTAATTAGAACATTAATGTCATACCGGTTTTCCTTAGAAAGGGAGCGAGAATGTCTCCTTCGTTTCCTTAATGATGACCGTGTCTGGGAGCGTGACTTTGAGCGAGATCTGGGGTAGGAATGTGATCTAAAAAGCAGAAAGTGATAAAAAACAATATTACATCTATAATTTCAACTCTCCAACTTTGAACAGTTTCTAGTGAACATACAATGAATTTAATGAAGAATTTAAAATTTGTCTACTTTTGTTTAGATATTTACAACTATGTGGTCTCTTTATTTTTTTACACAAAATTCATATAAAAATTATTTTAGCAATAAATTAAAAGTTGCTTCAAAAGTTCCCCCATTAACTTTAGATCCTGTCACATGTAATATCCAGGACTGTTGTAAACATTAAACTTTGGTTATCACAACCTTTTTAATTACAATTTTTCTTGTGAAATAAAAGGTTTCATGGTAAAAAAAAAGTATTTTTTTTGCGACTGTGACATCTAACACTTGTTATTTTTTAATTAGTCAGCATGCAATCAGAGCTCGGAAAGGGTTTATTGTGAAAAATAAATAATGGACATTGTCAATTGTGAGGTTTCAATGATCCTGAAGTTTTCTTATTGTAACAATGAAAAAATACACCCTTTCTTGTCTGAAGATAATTGGAGGTAGATGGACTTTGTTGATGGAAGAAATGTTTTACGTAAACCTGTGTATATATATTGATCTTTTACAGCTCTGCCAATAAACCATTATGTTGACTTTTGTAACGTGTGTACTACTGAGCACAGTCTTTCACTACAGCAGTTTGAGGTGTATTATAATGACACAAAAAAGTACATGAAAAAGGATATTTGACAAACGAATCAAATTTAGATACTTGGAAATTGAAACATCTTCTTCTGAAATTAAATAAATGCTACATGAAGGAGTTGTGAGCACATCCGTTGATTCCCGACATCTTTTTACGAGACCACACTATAGAAACATCAATGAAAGTCATGCTGAACACGTGAACAGCCTGTGTTTCAGTCGGATGTTGATCTCACGGACATGGTCGATGTTTGTATTTATTCTTGTTTGATTACCGGCTTTTGTCATACAAACACTAAAGGACAAATACAGATGTTGTTCTACAAATAGGTCTGGTACTGTATGATAGCTGGCGACAGCTTGTTACACTCCCTACATGTGTTTATAGGGAGGTTTAACTGATCGCTGCATGGTCAGCTTATTACATTAATCTATGGTGCACCGTACTGTCTCTTCATAACTGACTTCACAGTTCTTCAACTGTTTTTGATAAAAGAATTTATTTTAGAGTTCCAGGTACACTTATGTTATTGGTTGAAGTACTATGTGTAAGAATGCCCTATTTTGACAAAGACCTATGTAAGGAAATGCTAAACTTGATACTGTGGTACTGGTATTTATCCTCAAACTCTCCAGTTTTTTGGGACATCTTAATGAGATTTTTGTCACCTGCAATGTACAGTTAAAATTCCACTTTGTATAGACATGACGTGTGAAGGCTATCAATTCAGATATCAGGTCACGCTGAACGACTTTCAATCAGTCTTAGTTCTCAATAAATGATAGAGGTAAAATAGGAGGCTATCACCCATTTAATCTTTTAGAAATAGCTTGTAGATAGGGTGGGAAGGTATGACATAGACAGAAGACCCCACAAAACTTAAAGGAGACTTCAAAACCATAATAACTTTCTACCTGTGGGTGGAACCAGACTCGGTGGGAAGATAGAGTAAGCCGACAAAGGAATATATGGACAGCTTTTGTATGCATGGAGAAGTGTGGGCAAGAGTGTCCGAGAAGGATAAGAAAAATGGAAATACTGATTTTGATTATGATTTTTAAATGAAACTTCATTCAAATAAGAAAAATATAAACAGGTTAAAAAATCTCAATGATGCAGTAATCAATATTGGACTTTTGTTAAGGTGACAATGTGGTTATATATAAACATAAGAAAGAGCTATTAACACAGACAGGGCGAGGTCAATTTCACTTTTCAGGTCCAAGCAACAACATATTCACCAATATATGAATCATTTAATGAAAGAAAATGCATAACTAGATATAGAAAATACTATTAAATAGTATTTTATATGAAATTATGCACTTTTTTATCACTATGCAAAATGGACCATAGGAAATCCTCAGGAGAAAAGACATGGATATGATGAGAAGCACTCCCAAGTTAAAAATTTAATACTAGACATTTCTGTTTCTTAAAATAGTAACATTAAGTCAAATATATAGTGAAATATGGACTTGTACATGTGAATGACCAAAGTCCAGGAAATTCCAACATTATATAACATTTATCAGTTAGGAACTCTTGTTGAAGTGAACATGTGGTTATATGAAACAGAGAAAGATTACATAACCGAGATCAAGTCAAACGTGATATCTTTTTGTTTGTCAATCTATAATGATATAATCACTGAAATAAAAGTTTGAATTATTTCTTACACACGATCTCCCTGCTGTTTTTTCCTGACATTAATAACTTTTTGATTTTCTAAACGCAATAGACTCTCTCAGGTTACATATTGTATCATATACAATATCTACATTCCTTAATAACTTTCCTATTATTTTCTATTTATTAGTCTTCCAATCATTTTCTGTCAAAAATATCTCCTACTTCCCTTAAAAATGTTTAAGCTCTTTGTTGTTCCATATTAAATAACTTTCCCCCTGTTCCTTATAATCAAATAGTCAGCCCTAATACTATCAAACAGTCATGCCTAATACTATCAAATAGTCTGCCCTACTACTATCAAATAGTCTGCCCTAATACTATCTAACAGTCTGCCCTAATACTATCAAATAGTCTGCCCTAATATTATCTAACAGTCTGGCCTAATACTATCAAACAGTCTGCCCTAATACTATCTAATAGTCAGCCGTAATACTATCAAATAGTCTGCCCTAATACTATCTAATAGTCAGCCCTAATACTATCAAACAGTCTGAACTTGTTTCCTATCAAATAGTCTGCCCTAATACTATCAAATAGTCAGCCCTAATACTATCTAATAGTCAGCCCTAATACTATCTAATAGTCTGCCCTAATACTATCAAATAGTCTGCCTAATACTATCAAATAGTCTGCCCTAATACTATCAAACAGTCTGCCCTAATACTATCAAATAGTCTGCCCTAATACTATAAAATAGTCTGCCATAATACTATCTAACAGTCTGCCCTAATACTATCAAATAGTCTGCCCTAATACTATCTAATAGTCTGCCCTAATACTATCTAATAGTCTGCCCTAATACTATCTTACAGTCTGAACTTATTTCCTATCAAACAGTCTGCCCTAATACTATCTAATAGTCTGCCCTAATACTATCTTATAGTCTGAACTTGTTTCCTATCAAATAGTCTGCCCTAATACTATCAAACAGTCTGCCCTAATACTATCAAATAGTCTGCCCTAATACTATCTTACAGTCTGCCCTAATACTATCTAACAGTCAGCCCTAATACTATCAAATAGTCTGAACTTGTTTCCTATCAAATAGTCTGCCCTAATACTATCTTACAGTCTGAACTTATTTCCTATCAAACAGTCTGCCCTAATACTATCTAATAGTCTGCCCTAATACTATCTAATAGTCTGCCCTAATACTATCAAATGGTCTGCCCTAATACTATCTTACAGTCTGAACTTGTTTCCTATCAAATAGTCTGCCCTAATACTATCAAATAGTCTGCCCTAATACTATCTTACAATCTGAACTTGTTTCCTATCAAATAGTCTGCCCTAATAATATCAAACAGTCTGCCCTATACTATCAAATAGTCAGCCCTAATACTATCTTACAGTCTGCCCTAATACTATCTAACAGTCTGCCCTAATACTATCAAACAGGCTGAACTTGTTTCCTATCAAATAGTCTGCCCTTACTATCCAACAGTCTGCCATTGTTTCCTATCAAACAGTCTGTCCTTGTTTCCTATCAAATAGTCTGCCCTTGTTTCCTATCAAATAGTCTGCCCTTACTATCAAATAGTCTGCCCTTACTATCAAACAGTCTGCCCTTGTTTCTTATCAAACAGTCTGCCCTTGTTCCTTATCAAACAGTCTGCCCTTGTTTCCTATCAAACAGTCTGCCCTTGTTTCCTATCAAATGGTCAGCCCTAATACTATCAAATAGTCAGCCCTAATACTATCTAACAGTCAGCCCTAATACTATCAAATAGTCTGAACTTGTTTCCTATCAAATGGTCAGCCCTAATACTATCAAACAGTCTGAACTTGCTTCTTTCCCTTACTATCCAACAGTCTGCCCTGTTTTCTATCAAATAGTCTGCCCTTACTATCGAACAGTCTGTCCTTGTTTCCTATCAAACAGTTTGCCATTGTTTCCTATCAAACAGTCTGCCTTAATACTATCAAATAGTCTGCCCTTGTTTCCTATCAAATATTCTGCCCTTGTTTCCTATCACATAGTCAGCCCTTACTATCAAATAGTCTGCCCTTACTATCAAACAGTCTGCCCTTGTTTCCTATCAAATAGTCAGCCCTAATACTATTAAACAGTCTGAACCTGTTTCCTATCAAATAGTCTGCCCTTACTATCCAACAGTCTGCCCTTGTTTCCTATCAAACAGTCTGCCCTAATACTATCAAATAGTCTTCCTTGTTTCCTATCAAATAGTCTGCCCTTGTTTCCTATCAAATAGTCAGCCCTAATACTATTAAACAGTCTGAACTTGTTTCCTATCAAATAGTCTGTCCTTACTATCCAACAGTCTGCCCTTGTTTCCTATCAAACAGTCTGCTCTAATACTATCAAATAGTCTCCCTTGTTTCCTATCAAATAGTCTGCCCTTGTTTCCTATCAAACAGTCTGCCCTTGTTTCCCATCAAACAGCCTTCTCTTGTTTCCTATCAAACAGCCTGCCCTTGTTTCCTATCAAACATCCTGCCCTTGTTTCCTATCAAACAGATTGCCCTTGTTTCCTATCAAACAGCCTTCCTTTGTCTCCAAGAATTTAATTGGTCAGCTGATTGTTTCCTACCTAATGGTGCGCTCATTTTGCTATATCCAAATAGTCTGCTGATTGCTTCCAATCACAATATTCTGCCCATAATGTGTCCTAGTATTCAATTGGTCAGCCCACCAGCCATTGTACTTTCCTATCCAATGGTTTGCCCATTGTATCCTATCCAATGGTTTGCCCATTGTTTCCTATCAAATTTTCTGCCCATTGTTTCCAAGTAACAAATTGTCTGCCCACACATGGTTTCCTTTCCAATGGTTTGTCTATTGTTTGCTATGAAATGGTCTTGCCTGTTACACTGTTACTATAGGAGCCAGTGGTTTGTCTATTGTTTGCTATGAAATGGTCTTGCCTGTTACACTGTTACTATAGGAGCCAGTGGTTTGTCTATTGTTTGCTATGAAATGGTCTTGCCTGTTACACTGTTACTATAGGAGCCAGTGGTTTGTCTATTGTTTGCTATGAAATGGTCTTGCCTGTTACACTGTTACTATAGGAGCCAGTGGTTTGTCTATTGTTTGCTATGAAATGGTCTTGCCTGTTACACTGTTACTATAGGAGCCAGTGGTTTGTCTATTGTTTGCTATGAAATGGTCTTGCCTGTTACACTGTTACTATAGGAGCCAGTGGTTTGTCTATTGTTTGCTATGAAATGGTCTTGCCTGTTACACTGTTACTATAGGAGCCAGTGGTTTGTCTATTGTTTGCTATGAAATGGTCTTGCCTGTTACACTGTTACTATAGGAGCCAGTGGTTTGTCTATTGTTTGCTATGAAATGGTCTTGCCTGTTACACTGTTACTATAGGAGCCAGTGGTTTGTCTATTGTTTGCTATGAAATGGTCTTGCCTGTTACACTGTTACTATAGGAGCCAGTGGTTTGTCTATTGTTTGCTATGAAATGGTCTNGTTTGCTATGAAATGGTCTGGCCTGTTACACTGTTACTATAGGAGCCAGTGGTTTGTCTATTGTTTGCTATGAAATGGTCTGGCCTGTTACACTGTTACTATAGGAGCCAATGGTTTGTCTATCGTTTGCTATGAAATGGTCTGGCCTGTTACACTGTTACTATAGGAGCCAGTGGTTTGTCACCTTTAGTGACGCTCTATATAACCCAAGAAAAATCCAATACATGTCTACCTTATACAGCTCCAATGTAACACACAGTACTTAAGTGCCCTTCCATACCAAAGTACATAATGTAATCTATTCACTTTACTGAATAAAGTGGTGCTTATAAAAAATTTAAAACTTGAGCAAATATTGGCTGATTACTGATGGAGCAAAATCCAAGTTGAAACGGAATAAACAAGAGATCCCAGAGCCCAGAGGGATCTGGGTGCCCACCATCGTAAGATCTTCATTGGGCCTATATAAGTTTGGTCTTTTATCTCTCGGACTGAGTGTAAACAGCATGGTTGTTGTTTGACCTTGTAGTACAGTAGTTAATGAGTACTAGCTAGTGACAAGGACTTCTGATTTCTGGCAGTCAGATTTTACTTCTGATCAAGTGATTGAAGTTCAAAATACAATATAGGCAAAACTCTGGAACAGGAAGAACCACTTTAACTAATGAAATTTCAGAAAGATTTTTTATCTACTATCGAGGAGTAACAAATACAAAATATTACAGTCTCCTTGGTACCGTAGCCATTATTATTTATCCAATGTGTTTCAAAACTATGGACAAAAGGAAATTAATATATATATATATATGTAACTTGCATTTGAAATTTGAGAAAAAGTTTGTCAAGTATTATTTCTTGAGAGCAAGCGATGACAATTTGAACTGTAAAAACGATGGGTGGGAGACAGTTATTGAAGAAGCTCCATCACTCACGTGTATTTGTAGTCACCACTCTGTCTGTTACTGCGCATGGCAGCTGCTGCTCTCTCCTCATAAGGAATGGCGTGCTCGACTCGCACCCTCCGACCACACACTAACCTGTCAACAAGTAAACAATATAGTATAGTCAATAGCTAGGTCAACTGGGATATGAAAATCATGGAAGTATAATACTAATAATACTAAGGTAATTAAGTAATTACACAGAAAATTTGAGAAGTAAGATATTCACAAGTTCTGGACATAACAGACATTTATATTTCAACTTCATAGATCAACTCAGCACAAAGTTCTTCTGTATTTTCTTAGCAAAATGTGTCAGTATTTTCAGTTTTAAGCATTTATCTTCTTTATTATGTTAAGTCATAATTATTCTGATAAATGTTTGAAGGTTAATAATGAGAAAGCCCCTCACCCTAATGTTTACATAGATACAGGGATCGTGTAAACTACATGTTTAGGTAGATACAGGGATCGTGTAAACTGAATGATTAGGTAGATACAGGGATCGTGTAAACTAAATGATTAGGTAGATACAGGGATTGTGTAAACTACATGTTTATAGGTAGATACAGGGATCGTGTAAACTACATGTTTAGGTAGATACAGGGATTGTGTAAACTACACGTTTAGGTAGATACAGGAATCGTGTAAACTACATGTTTATAGGTAGATACAGGGATTTTGTGTTTGAAGGTTAATAATGAGAAAGCCCCTCACCCTAATGTTTACATAGATACAGGGATCGTGTAAACTACAAGTTTAGGTAGATACAGGGATCGTGTAAACTACATATTTAGGTAGATACAGGGATTGTGTAAACTAAATGTTTAGGTAGATACAGGGATTGTGTAAACTAAATGTTTAGGTAGATACAGGAATCGTGTAAACTACATGTTTAGGTATAGATACAGAGATTGTGTAAACTGAATGTTTAGGTAGATACAGGGATTGTGTAAAGTGAATACTTATACATATATACAGGGGTTGTGTAAACTGAATGTTTAGGTAGATACAGGGATCGTGTAAACAAAATGTTTAGGTAGATACAGGGATCGTGTAAACTACATGTTAAGGTAGATACCGAGATCGTCTAAACTACATGTTTAGGTACATACAGAGATCGTGTAAACTGAATAATTAGGTAGATACAGGGATCGTGTAAACTACATGTTTAGGTAGATACAGGGATTGCATAAACTACATGTTTAGGTAGATACAGGGATCGTGTAAACTAAATGTTTAGGTAGATATAGGGATCGTGTAAACTACATGTTTAGGTAGATACAGGGATCGTGTAAACTACATGTTTAGGTAGATACAGGAATCGTGTTAACTACATGTTTAGGTAGATACAGGAATCGTGTAAACTGAATGTTTAGGTAGATACAGGGATCGTGTAAACTAAATGTTTAGGTAGATACAAGGATCGTGTAAACTACATGTTAAGGTACATACAGGGATCGTGTAAACTGAATAATTAGGTAGATACAGGGATCGTGTAAACTACATGTTTAGGTAGATACAGGGATTGCATAAACTACATGTTTAGGTAGATACAGGGATCGTGTAAACTAAATGTTTAGGTAGATATAGGGATCGTGTAAACTACATGTTTAGGTAGATACAGGGATCGTGTAAACTACATGTTTAGG